ATCAACTCAACTCATATCATTGTGGGAAAATTCTACTACCAGTCTTTCATCACCTTAGACGAACCAGGGTGAATACACCTCATTCTATAAATATAGTTGGAGAAGAAAGTAATAAGGAAACTTGTGTATGTGGGTTTCATATACGCATCTCTGCCAAACCTATTACCTTCTTTGTCCACCAATACATCCAAAAAAGGCAATTTACTTTTTATGAGATGTATTCATCCTAATACCATTAAGGTGATGAAGGTCTGGTAGTAGAAGCTTCACACAATGATATGAGTATAGTTGACGTTTCCATTGAATTTCACATAGCCCTGTTTTCCCAAAAGTTATTCTCATCCAGGGTGGACTGTAGTTTCGACCTGGCATAGATCTTATCAACACCCCCAGCGGGAGTCGAACGGTGACAGTGCAGCATGTGAGCTTGACACGTTAGCCACTCGGCCACATTGCCCCAAATGTGATATGGAAAAAACCTGGCCTTCCTTGAAAATTTCATCTGCCCTGTGACCCAAGGGCACTCATGGCAATGTAGCCGAGTGGTTAACGTGTCAAGCTCACATTCTGCCCTGTTACGGTTCGGCTCCAGCCTGGGGTGTTGATATGACCGGTGCGAGGCCGAAACCTCAGTCCAACCTGGATGACAACAACTTTTGCGAAAGCAATGCTATGTGAAATTCAATGGAAGCATCAGCTCTATTCATATAATTGTGGGAAAATCGCCTTAAACGAAATAGGGTGAATACATCTTATATAATTATTTCATCCCAAGTGGTTGAAAAAAAAACATTCTGGAAGCCAAAAGGTGGGTAGAATTTCATTTTTAGGCAACATTGGCTCAATAAAATCTAAAGGCTATTCGATCTATTTTTTATGCACCCCAGAGGCGTCAAGGTTCCAGTCGAAGGCTCCCTTTACTGGAGGATGAACGGACAGGAAAATGAGATGTGAAAAAGTGAAATTGACCAGAATGCGAGAAAATGAGAGTTACCTGCCGAAATTTCTCCCCACAATACAGTGCCATGTGGGGTTGTACATTTTGTCGAACTCCTTTTTAATGTAGGCTGCGATGTCTTTCTCTACGTTGAAGCGCTCCAATGCCGTCACGGCACAATCGACCGCTACATGTTGCATTTCCTCTACCATGTCTACGCTCTTCACAACAGCTTTTCTCTCCCCCACTGCCATGGCGCCCGCACAATCGGAGACTCAATTAGTTTCAATCACAGCGAGTCTAGTTGCTATCCGTCTTGGCCACTTAATGTGGCGAGCTGCTTCCACCTACAAGCTGGACGATGATTGAAATTAGGCTCCGAAAATTGGCTCCAAGCTTTCGCTCGTGATGGGACGAGAAGTAATATGGCTCCCGGACAGCACACTTTAAGCCAAAAGCTTTGTGAATCACCAAACAAGTCACTTGCACCCTGTAGAAATAAGGAAATGAGCTATCTCTAGCCAACATTCTCGTGGCAGCAAGGATACAGTAAATATGACAGGTCAACAAAAGGATATCTACCCGTATGTGAGAGGATACACGAGCGCTTCTGCATATTTCGAGACTTGGATACAGTAATAGAAGACAGCTTTTCCGGACTTAACTGAGTAGATCGAACCGATCTGCCCAAGACAAATGGCCGCTCTACAAGATTGCCGCCTACCACCCACCCGTCCTGCTCCTCCCCCGCCCCCATTACGATCAGTAGTTTGTCTCTATCTCTTCGTGTAATCAGTCAGTATCAGCTGACTGAATCTGCTTCAGCAGAGAGTCTGAGCTCAGCTCATCTGCGCCAAACCCTCCAAACTTGTCCGTTTGAAAATTCCGTTCTTATTTTTCATGACTTGATTTCAATATTCATATCTGGCATGGGTGCAGGAGGGTGCAAGAGGGAGTTTGGACTTTCACGTACCCTCGAGATTTCGCGCGCAAGACAGCCGAGAGATCTTGCGCACTTATGCATTTATGCGTAACTGATTGTCTGAGAACGCTTGATAAGGATGGCAGAAGACTGTGAGAAAAGTGGTAGGAAAGTTGGCTTAGATACTGTTAACACCTTTCTCTGACTACTAGGCATGCTCGTGAGCCTACACAGGCACAGAGATTCTGCATTCGTCGTATCTTGTTGACACCGAGTTGAAGCGAACTCTCACCAGGAGGAAGAGTTTAGTTTGCAGTACTTCCTAGGGCCATGAGAATGCAGGTACAGGCGAACCGTCCAATTGCTATAGTTCGGACCACTTGACAAGTGGCTACTGGGTCGAGCTTAAACTACGCGCTTCCTAGGACTTGTACATGTACGTCCAGTCATAGACGAGTATATTAGCTGGTAAATGCGCTTCTTTAGGTCATAATTCACACGTTTTCTGCAAAATTAGTCATAATTATTTAAACGAAGATTTGAAGACCAAGATTATGGTATGGTCGCAGTCTCCTTTCGATTCATAGAAGTGGATTGACCTCGTCGCAACTTGGTCTTGTTGTC